TGTCAAGAAAAACTCCTCCCCAATTGAGAAATAAATCCTCTTGAAATGTAGAACCGAACTTTGAGTGCGCGTCCATTAACTCCTCCCGGGTCCATAGAGGCATAAAATACTTATACATGTGTTTTAAATGATATGGATCAAAATTAGATGTAGTTGGGGAAGCAAAAAAACAGGAATCGCTGCATGTATGTCAATATCACTGCGTGAGAAAGATGGGTCTATTAAGTGCACAAAGCTTGAATTATCCAAATCTTTCGTAATATCAGCCTCTTCATAGCAACTATTGTATGTCTTTCTTCCAATGGTAATTACAAAGTTAATATTGTTCTCCTTTAGCATGTGAGCAACGTAAATAAGAAAACAACTTTTTCCAGTTCGAGGCGTCCCAGTAATTGCAATGCCAATTCCTTCTTGGGAATGAGGAGCAAGCAACATAATTTCTGTGCGGTGCGTCAAGATTCTTAAAAAAAAATCAGTGTAAATACTTCGCACATATATATTCCTTTCCCCTCTAATAAAAGGAAGTGTTAACACTAAAACAGTAAGAGATAATAAATGATGTATACAATAAAGTTAAAGATAATACCTTGTAGCGCCATAGACAGGGGGAGCCAAGACAGACAAATCCTAAAGTTCAAAAGCAATAATAAATACAAAGCTTAAAGAAGTGTGTGATTAATACATGAACCATCATGTGGTGTAAATACAATAAATGGTAATTTTGTACATTAAGGGTGCTGCTCCACCGCCCATGCACAATTTTTAATCTCATGCTAAGGGAGCTGTTTTTCAAAAGTACTTTACCAATCATAACGAAACAAGTACTAGTTACAAGAGAGTAACATTAGTCTTTAAGCTTAAGCTAACTTGGAGCTTTTAAAATTCAAATGTTATAGGCCTAGGCACGTGCATCAGCATGTGATAAATTTGCTGGCGTAAAGTGTAGATTGTGTTGAGTCAGGTTCCTTAACCAGTAAAACAGTGCTGTATACACAATTATTGACACCAGCAATTACTAATACTATTACTATTACTATTAGAAATATATTTAAAATTTTATATTACAGTTGCTATTACTATTACCTTAAATTTTACAATTGTCATACTATTACTATTACTTAGCAATATGCACTATTACTATTACCACACGTCTGATTATATTAACATGTACAATACTACAATTTTAAAAATGTAATTGCTTGTAGCTACAGTGTCATTTCTACCTAAAGGTTATGGTATGTACTACCGTGTTTGGAATAGGCATTGATGTACGTAATATTAACATTATAATTATGATTGGTTTTCCATTTCTGTAGATGTACTTGTACAAGAATTTGAAAGAGGAGGAAGGGATCTTAGCTGAAGGTAAATATATGTACATCTAGCCTGCCTAACATTGACGGTTCTAACCACAAATGAAGAATGAAGTTGAAATAAAGAAAGCTTGTAGCTGCATAGATGGTGGCAGGATCGGGCACAGACAGGCAATGCCCAAACAATAATATGACTGGAAAAAAATCAATTAATGACATCATTCTTTGTCACAAAAAGTTACCATGACTAGCAAAAGAAACTCATATTTTTTGCTTTTCTCTCTCTATAAGCCTTTCATTTGCATGCCAATTTTCTTGCCTGACTCCTCTTGCAATTGCGCCAAGCAAGATGGTCGAGTCTGAATGAGTATGGAGAATTTTATGGCCCAAAGCAAGCCTAATTATCTATTCATTGGGCTGTTAAATGTAGCAAAATAGAGAAAGCAACTGATATCATCTACTGAGAGTGGTATACAGGATTCTAGAGAATTAAACGTGCAGAATCAGTGATAAGCCAGATGTAGCCTCGTCAATATATATCACATACAACAACAAATGAGGATTCCATAGAAAATGTCATTAAATAAATGTATTTTCCTCAGCATGTAGGGAGAACTTAGTGCTTTCTGTCATTAAATGCCTCCTATACAAATGTGGAATTTGTCACTATATCTGTCATTGTTATACTGCCTTCATTACTATAGGGACAATTTAGTGCCAGGCACTTTTTTGTGCCTATAATATAATGTGACCCATACTGATGCATTATAGAAGTATAAACAAAATATAGTGCATTATTCACGAAATGACACCAATAATATATTAGGGAGATTAAGATGCCATCATTAAATGTTCCCTATAATACTATAGGGAATATTTAATTTGTAGCATGTAAAGTATCCCTTATACTACTATAGAGAACATTTCATGCAAATCCTAGTACTATTTAGCATATCAGAGATTATATGGACATTAACATAGTGACAATGTACTGCAATAATTATAAATAGGCCCTTTGTGAGTTTCAGTTGTAAAATATCTCAGTCACATGCATTGATATTTTATTAAAACTGTTGTCTATGCTTTACTAAAAGATGAAATTTTCGTGTGTATTGGCAGACGAAATTTACGTGTATTGTGCAGAAAAAATGATGGTGTACATAACCGGCTATTTTATAAATTTGAAAATTTTATGTCAATGCGTTATATACTAATTTAGAGCTATTATGCTGACTATAGACAATGCTTTAAAGATGCAATGCATGTGGTTTTTTTAACAAAACTGCTTAATACATCATAATTAATTAGTTTTTTCCAATATTCCAAGCGATAGCTAGAATAATAACAACTGCATATGGAACTACTTTTATATTCATATAAGTTTAATATAATAATACAAACTTGGTACATGAAGTACAAGTGCAGTAAATGCTGAGTGTATGGTACTCTATTGGATGAGTCTGCTGAGTCTCAAGGCAAAATAATGATTAGAAAGGTAGTGTACACACTATGAAAATAATGAAGTAATATATTTATTTGTTGTAGAAAATTTTGAAGAGTGTGACAACTGTTGCGAGCAGGCATCAGTATATTGATAAAGGTATGCAATCTATTTGTGTATTCAGTGTTCATGTTTGAGGAACAAAAATAAGAGGAGAGGTCACAATGCACACAGCATAAAAGTTATCCAATTGAATGATAATGTGACTGGTAATTTCCTACAGACATGTACTTTTGATGAGTGTATCTCTCTTACTCACATGTAGATAATGAGTAGTGATGAAACGAATAGTAGTTTTCACTATTCGAATAATTGGTATGCTAAACGAACAGATATTTGAATATTTGAACTATTATTGCTCAATGATTATAAACTACCTTTTTGGTGCTAATCTTATCAAAATAATCCCAAACAGGGCTTCTTAGAGATTGAGAACCACTTCCATGGCTATAGCATCAGTATTTAGCAAGTTGGTAACCAAGAAATTGACTAACAAAGCCAAAGAAAGCCTCAAAGAAAGCAGCTGTGCAGGTAGCACGTGGTGGGAGTGGCCACTACTTATTGCAATCACCATTAATAATTTTATTGGAATAGCAATAAAACTATTTTAATATTGCTATAAAAATTATAAACGAATGAATATTCAAATATCTCGCTATTCGTTTCAGCACTAATAATGAGATCAATCCATGTGTTGTTTCAAATCAAGAAAGAACCAAAATTTGTGGATTTGCGAAACATTTTCAGTTATCTACAGTGTAGGTTTGGCAAAGAATGTTATATCAATGGCAATGAATTATGTAGAATCAGCAGTAGTTTAGCAAACTGGTACTGGCAAGTCTTTGTTACGTCAGTCCTCCTATATACCAAGGAAAAGCTACTGTTGTTGTATCGCCAACAATGAGCCTAATGTCACATTAAGTGCACAGACTCAAAGAAAAAGGAATTGCTGCTACACTTTTGGTGTCCGCATAGAAGAAAGACATTATGGATCGTTTTCCTATGTAAAACACCAGAATTATAATTTGACAGTACATCAAAAACACCATGACATCAATTTCTTCAACAGGCTGCCAATCACCAACTTTGTCTTGTTGCTATTGACGGACACCTAATTTACAGCTGGAAATCATTTCGGTTAGTAACAATGATATCTTAGTATATATGTACGCAACACTGCATCATAGAGAGGAGTATGGATACCTTGTAAATATCACATCCTTTTTTCCTGCTGTTGCCCCCACAATTTTGACTGCCACTGCAACACTGGAGGTAAAGAGCAAATTTCTTAAGATATTCCACAATCCAATTCAAGAAATTGCAAGTGTGAACAAGGGAAATATATCGCTACATGTGAAGGAATTGAAAAAAGTTTCTAAGGAAGGTAAGAATACATGTGCTGTACATGGTAATGTCCAAGTGTGTCAGCATGCTACATTCTGTCAATGTAATGAAGATCATGCTAATAACAAAAAGTAAAACAAGAGGAAAGGAGAGATAAAGAGAGAGAGCCATACATTACAAGGAGTGACCGCTTGCATACTGAGCATGCGCATTAGGTACACAATATACATTCATCACACAATGACATGTCCACTTCATTAGATGTACATGTGAAACATTGAATTGATGCAAAGGATGATACCAATTATTAGGTAGAAAAAATATAGACCTTCCCACAAAAAAATGAGAGTAACCTACAGTTTCTTTTACAAGTCCTTAACTTTATTAACATTTATAGGTACAGCGAGCTATTTCAGCACTGTAGCAGATTACATAAAAATGCAACAAAAAAAGGCAATTGCATATACCGATTTTGTAAACATGCAATAGCACTGACGGAAAGGGGATATAACTGTTGCAGCTATCATGAGAAAAACATGTGATACCATGACAAACTGAAGGTTGTAGATAGTTGGAGTAGTGACAGTGCTTCAATTAAGGTAGGTGCTTATCAGTATTAGCATTTTCCCATTTTTTTGATTTTGTGTTATTCGTCCCATTTATGCAAGGTTTTCATGAAGGTGCCATCATTAACTACACGTTTTATAATGGTTTTTTTATTTGGTTTAACGTTGCAACATTTAACTACACTTAACTACCTTAAAAATATTCTACGTTAGAGTTACATGATATTGTAAGGGTAGCAGTTGCTTGTGTTCATCTAAACAAATTGGATGAAGAGGCATATAGGTGTGCATTCGAAGCTATTTTTGGTGAAGTGACGAAACACACAAAAGGATTTGATGTAGGAAAGACACTTAATGGAATAATAGCTGATTGGTCGAATCCACATTTGAAACGACTTGAGTTAGCTATTGGAAAGGAATTGGCGGATAAGGTCATTAAGGAATGTCAAGTAAGCGAAATTTGCATTATTCATTGGTTAGTTATATCCTGTCCAAGGTCCATTATCAACGATCATTAAAAAGAGTCACTGAGAAATTGAACAAAGGATGTACATTGACATATAAGTCGTTTACATCTATTGGCTACTCTATACCTCATGTTACAACACAAGAGCATGTTCATACCCTTTTCGATGTCTTGTGTGGAAAACAGATTCTCTTGGCAGACAATAAAATCTTACCACATGTGCCTCTATTCTCGGAATGCAGCAGTGCTCATAATGTGGAACTTTGAGATCCAGTTCTAACTCGTGCGAATGGTGGAGCAGGCGTACTCATCTCAGTATGTTGCAAAGTATACATGTACATGTAAATGTCATTATTGCTCAATCGCAGAAATGCTGACATCTTGCTTCTCTGACATGGATTCCTAAGTGGTTGACGAGTTACCATCATCAACAAATGCAGTTGAATCTCACAATTGCTTTGGTAAATGTATTTATTGATTACTATTGAAAGAAGCAATGATGGCAACCTACCGTGAAGATGCTACCAAATGCCTTGAAATAATGGCTATTCAAAAATGAATTAGAACACATTATGAAAATCATAAACCTGTTGGTCGTAATAAGCTTGCACAGCAACAAAAAAAGTGCAAGAAAGAGACGGCTTTGTTGTTTACCAGATGACGATGCTTTGGGACCACCAGATAAGAAAAAAGATTTTTATTGAAGTACATTAAATAGAACTGATTGAACTTATGTTTCAATTATCGCAGATCAGTCAACCCCTACTCATCAAGCAAAAGGTGCTGTTAAACAAAAAATGTCTTAGAATATAAAGACAGTAAAATTGAAGGCATCAATAAGTTAATTGTGACATTACATGCATATCTTAATTTAATCCTTTAGTGCCTG